CAGACAGACAGACAGAAAGACAGACAGACAGAGAGACAGAGAGACAGAGAGACAGAGAGACAGAGAGACAGAGAGACAGAGAGACAGAGAGACAGAGAGCAGAGAGAGAGAGAGAGAGAGATAGAGATAGAGATAGAGATAGAGATAGAGATAGAGATAGACCGATAGATAGATAGGTAGGTAGGTAGGTAGATAGAAAGAAAGATAGATAGGCAGCCTAAACTACTCGGACGCTTATCAGAGATGATCCCTAGGAAGGTTCCTTTAATTTTCTGGAATCCAGCAGGTTGATCCAGAGGTCCTCAATCATGGGTGCAGCCCAGTGGTGCACGCTCTCCGAGACGTGGCAGCAGACACTCTGTTGGTGAGCTTCCGACAGGCTGACGCGCCTGCAGGCTTTGTTGGGGCAGAGGGCCTCAAACGGGCGAGGAATGTCCGAAGGTCAGCCGTCCCTGCTCGCCCCTTTGCTGCACCCTCCTCGGGGTCAGATACAGCGACGACCCATCGAGGGCGCAGGGCTTCAGAGATTTCCGAAGCTGCCGCCGTGCTGTCAGGAATCCCCAAGCCCAAATGCCGGACCATGATGTCAGCAATGGATGCATGGAAGACTCCCATTCTGGAGCAGAACGAGCAAGAGGCCGCATTTTGCACCAGAAGTTTGCAGAAAAGCATCCGCAGCGTCACGGACAAAGACCACTCACACTTTTTGTGCCAGTTGCTCCTTTGTTGCGTCGCTGGAGTTCAAGTATGTCTGGAAGCTCAGAGGTGGCTTACAGAAAAGCCAGGACAAACGAGCACTTCATTCCTGAGCTTCCTCCAGAGCCAGGAGATTTTGTTGCTGCAGCTTGCCAGCAGGTGTTTGAGCCGACTGGACTTGGGACAGAGCGCTGTTCGACGCAGCATCAAGCATGCATTGCGGTTCTGCCGCGACGTCGTGGCGAGACTGGCGCGACGCCCCAGGGCCATGCCCGAGGCTTGGGATGAGATGCGGCGCTGGGTCTTGAAGGCCCCGGGGCGCCTCCTCCGCCCCCCCTCCTTGCTTGGAATGCCGCCACGGCCCCTGCCGCTCCTGTGCTCAGTCAAAGATTGCCCCTCAAAGGGCCATCACGTGCAGCTGACGGAGGATGTTCTGGGTCCTTCTGGGTGGCGGTGTCGTCTGCATGGTCTCAAGCGACGCTGCAACGTGGCCGGCTGTGGCCGCTTGAGGAATGCCTGTGTTTCTGAGAAGGACCGCTTCGGCTTGCCAGGAGACCGATGTGTACTCCATGGGGCACGCAGCTGCGAAGTGGAGAACTGTGGTCGTTTTGCACGACTGCGTGTTCACCTGCCAGATGAGTTTGGCCTTCCTGGGCGCCGTTGCCTTCAGCACTCCGCTCACTCCAGGTGTACTGTCCAGGGTTGCCACAGGCAGGATCGATGAAACTGCCTCTTTGGTTCGGGTCACGTCATGTCACGCACCCGTCGGAGCTAAACTGGGTTAGGATAGGATGCGATAGGAGTTTTCATGCCGTGCAGGCTAGGGTAACCATGCAGGTTGTCCACTCGCCGAGTGGCTGCTGATCACCTGGGCCCAGGGGGCTTCCGCTGCGGCAGGCATGGGCTGCCCTGCACAGTGACAAGCTGCACCAGGATTCCGTGGGGACGTGTAGAAGTGGCGGACAAATACGGTCGGGCCGGACGCCGCTGCTGGCTTCATGGAGGAAAGACCTGCAACGTTCCAGGCTGCCTGTCACGGCCTGTCAGGCGTGTTGCAGAGTCCGATCATCAGGGGGTTGCTGGAATCCGATGTGCTGCTCATTCAGGCAACCACTTTGCAAGTTCAGACGGCCCCAAGAAGCACCACAAGCGTGGTGTGCACGCCGACATCCGGCAGTGCCAGCGCAACGTGCGTTCCGACATCCGACCACGCTGCCAGCGCAACGTGAGCGCCGACGTGCGGAAGTGCCAGCCAGCCTCCGTGGCAGCAGCCACGCTCCAGGTGCATGGAGTACAAACAGTGCAGCTGGCCGAGGAGGACCGGTGCACTTACTCTGACGGCCAGTCATGGCGTTGCCGGCGGCCCCGCAAAGAAGGCCAGCGTGTTTGTGAGTACCACTGGGCAAAGCGGACTCTGTACGATAAGTGGCGGCGAAAGGTACGAGACCAAGGAGAGACTAGCAGTTTAACGGGGAGAAAATCAGATTGCAGGGTTATCTGCGCCTTTGTAGCGTCAGGTTGATGTCAACAGCTTCGCCCTCTTGCTGCATAGCTTGGTGACTTCGGCTTCTACTGTATTGCTCATTCCTACCCTTCACCACCGAACCCCATCAAGTCAGGCGATAGACCGGCCCCAGAAGGTGAGACATCTTGAGACCAGAAGCCCCTTCCTCTTCATCGGTCCAGCAGGAAAGACAAATCCGAGACCCTAGAACTCAAAGATGCCATCGGACGAAGAGTTCCTGGTTTAGGGTTTAGGGGTTTAGGGTTTAGGGTTTTAGGGGTTTAGGGGTTGAGGGGTTGAGGGGTTGAGGGGTTTAGGGTTTAGAGTCATTTTTCACGGCCTTCAGGTATCAATACCTTCATCCAGCGCGAGGGTGTCTTCTACGGCGGGAGCCGCAGTGCACCGGGTTTCAGGAATGAGAGCTTTGCATGTGAAGCAGGCAACTAACCAGCCGGCGCAATCTCTGTAGAAGCGAGCGAAGGTCTTTGGGTATGTTCCTAAACCCCGAACCCTAAACCCCAAAACCTAAGCCCCGTTCAACCCTCCAAGATAACTTGAGGGATATGCATCACTAGGTACAGGGTTTAGGGGCGTCATGCATAACTAGGTGGGCCTTTTGGCTATTTTCTACTCTCCCTTAAATTGGGCTTAGGAGGACCTTACTTACGAGTCGTTTATAAGGAGGTTTTAAACGGCCAACCTGGATGATACAGGCGTCCTTCATCGTCCCCATGCCTAGACCCGAAACCGTAAACCCTAATATCATGATGCCACGATCTACTCCCCGAACCCTCCTCCCCCAAGCCCCAAAACCCCTACCCAAGACACGAACTCCCAAACCCCAAAGCAGAAACTCTAGATCCCGCGTCTCGACATGATACCTGGATTTCTTTCAAAAGCTCAAACATTCAAACCAACACTAAAAAAAGTCTCGACCCCAACCTCCAAAGATCTAAATAAGCCTCGGGGGAGAAGCGGCCCCTTAACAAAACAACGGAAGAAACCGCACAGGCAAAGCCACAAACCGCAGCGTGGTGGGAAAAGAGCAAACAGGGGCCGCCTTCAAACACCGAAGCTCTCTCTGCAGGCCAGTGCTCCGAGCTGTGCGGCACGCTGCACGGCTTCATGCCCATTGTCGTTGAGGCTGGGCTCTGCTTTTTCAGGGTTTGGTATTTTCAGAAGGCCCTGGGGTTAGGAGGTTTTTAGGAGGGGTTTAGGGTTCAGGGGTTCAGGGGTTTAGGGTTTAGGGTTTAGGGGTTTAGGGTTTAGGGTTTAGGGTTCAGCTTGGGAAGGTTAAGTGGGGTTGAAGGTCTGAGAACCTATGCTTTGAATCTCTTGGAAGGCAGTTAGGGTAGTTGGAGCATCAGGGCCTGCATGTGGAGGCCTGTTGGTTGGTGGAAAAAAATTGTTGTGTTACTTGGACCTGGTGTAAGATCTTGTGTTACTTAGAGAGCTGCGATGGAACTGGGCCGCCTTGCCCACGCCAGGCCGTGTCTCCTGAGACCTACGCAGCTCACGCCCGCAAGTGGTACAAGGAGTGAGGCGCCCGCATCAGCCTTGCTAGGGCGGTTGTACGCCCGGGTAGGGCCGAGGGCCTCGATGTACTCGAAGTGCTGGTGAATGTGACGCCGGCACCGTGCCTGCTGACGTAGCGGTTGCTACGAGAGCCGCTTCTAGTCCGAAAAGGCGCGATCTGCTAAGTCTGAAACTTAAGGTCGGTGTTAGATGTGATCAGTACGTCTCGACTCGTGTCAGGCCGTAAAAGTGAGGTGCCGGAGTCAGCTGAGCGAAGGCTTGGTGTTTTGTCGGCCCTCCCGGGGCTTTGAGGTTATGAAATCCCAGCTCGAATCAGGAGTGCTCACGGCCCAGGGGACCTGAGGAGCGTCGAGGTAAGGGCAAGGGGTCTTGACCCAATCAACAGCTGCAGTCGGCACTTGGTCGGTGTTCGTCTCAACGCCTTCTTTCGGCTTCGTTCGTGTGTCTGGTGTTTGCGGCTGCGATACCGCTGAGTGAGTGTATGTCGGAGGGAGGGAAGGAGGGATGGAGGGAGCAAGACGGAGAGCATCAGCGAAACGGAGACAACGAGCGGAAGAGAGAAAAGGAGAAGGAGAGAGAGAGACAGAGCAGGGGGGCGATTTATCGTGTGTCTGTGCCCGTCTATCCGTCAACCGTCCGCCGATCCTTCTCTCAGCGCTTGCTCTTTAGACACTTTAGACTTAGTACTATGCCTGGACCCATCAAGGCCCAACTCAAAGAGCTGCCCCCAAACCCTGAGACCCCTCAGCCGAGACGTTGACCCGTAAGTTGTCCAGCAGCCCTGGGCCCCGTTACACCGCCATGGAGCTGCTAGTGAATTCCGCAGACGGTCCGCTGGAAGCAGCGTTGAGGCCAGGGCCCTGGTCGCGGGTAGCGCGTCGGTTTTGAGTTGTGATGAGAACAAAGCTGTAGTTCTTACGTCCTTAGCGTGGGTTGCTGCTGTGACTATTCCACCACTGTCACTAGTACTGACAGGAGGAGTGCGACCAGCAGTGGCACTAGTCCTAGCCTTGACGACGACTGCAGCACTAGAAAACCCAGTATTCCTCGTCATCGCAGCAGTTGGGTCGCTGCTGTTGTGCAACATGGCGGAAGTTTTCCCCAAGCTCCGACACCCCGAAGGCTTCAAACCCCAAACCCTAAACCCTAAACCCTCAGCCCTAAACCCCTAAACCCCAAACCCCAAACCCTAAACCCTAAACTTAAACTTAAAACCCTAAACCCTAAACTTAAAACCCTAAAACCCTAAACCGTAGCCCGGCCCTCTGAGGTGATACCATGTCGCTGTTTTTCTCCTCCTGCCTCTCGGTGTCTTGGCCCTGAAGTGCTGCCTTCCGGCTCGAGGCTGTTGGATTTTTTCCGGGTTTTGGGCTTTGGGCTTAGGGTTTAGAGTTTACGGTTTAGGGTTTAGGGTTTTGGGGTCTTCTGGGTTGATGTTCGCGGTTCTGGTTCGTGTGTTGGGCATTCCTGGGAGTGCGCAGAAGCCAGGTGTGCAGATATCCGTCGCAACCGGATGTAGAGGAAGTCCATGTCAATGACCCGCAGAATGACTTTGACGCTGCTTGGCTTAGTGCAGGGTTCGGAAAGTTTGGAACTAACAGTACTGGTTATAGTCCCGAGTATAACTAGTTCTAGTAGTTGCGGATTCCAAGTGGATTAATCCCTAAACCCTGAACCCTAGGGCTCCACGCCCGGCCCGGGGGCAGGTGGACCTCCCACAACCTAAATCCTCAAGCCTAGAACCGCAGGGTAGTTCTTTACAATGGGGTCCCTTTCGGTTCTAAAGAATAGTACGGCAGCACCTTAAAAGGGACCCTAATTGAGAAAACAATCCCGCAACCCTCAGACTTCAACCCCACCTGGACCTTAGAAAGCCTACCTTTTGTAGGGTTCCTTGTCATGATTTCCCTCTAGAACCCTTAAAGAGGTAATATGGACTGGGGCCAGGAAATTACTGGCCATGCCCGGAACCAGTGACCCACAGACCACGGCCTCTCTTGAAAGCCGGGCTTCCTTGCCCTGGCGGTCTCAACACGGCTTAGTTTAGGTTCAGGGTGTAGGGTTTAGGGTTTAGTGTGGAGGGTGTAGGGTTTATTGTCTAGGGTTCAGGGTTGAGACTTCTGGTTTTAGCACCATTTCGACGAAGCGTCTCTTTTTCGAGACTCCAGAAAATCTTTTTCAAAGCCACATGCCATTCTCAACTGATTTTTTTGTTGGAGCTGAGCTGCTGCTGTGATGTCGCGAGAATACCAGGCCTTTCGTTAGCATGAGCCAGCTTGCTAGAAGGGGGTTACTGTTACTATAGGGCAGTATCAGGGTTGTTACATCTGCATAGTGGTTACTCGAAGGGTATCATATCCCACAACTGAGACTTTAAAGGCCGAAGCTCAAAAAGCGGAACTGCAACGCCTCTATCCCGAAGCCACAGCCCCTTAGACTCTAACAACCTCAAACCCCAAAACCCCCTGAGTCGTGAATCCTAAACCCCAAAACCCTAAAAGCCCTACCCTGAACCCTGAACCCGAAACCCTAAGCCCTAAACCCTAAAAGCCCTAAGTTCTAAGCCCAGCACCCTCTGAATCGTTGTCGAGGAGTCGGAAAGTGACACCACGGAGGGCGATGACACCATTTCCAAGGCCTCGGGTTCAGGGTTCGGGGTTTAGGGTTCAGG